CCTTTTAAAGCATTTTTGCAGTCTTGGTTTACATTTTTGGATGCCAATTGCTTTAACAAAAAGAGACTGCTGCTGTTTTGCCACCTGGCATCAGTTGCTTTATTTAATCTCTCTATAATGGTAAGGAAAGATTCTGGGGCTTCCTGCTTAATAGTACTGAAGGAACTCAGTGTCAGTTGCTTCAGGGATTCTTTTCCAAGCTTTTAAAGCAATTTGAGGATAAGCTTAGGAGCAACACAACCTGCCTTAGGCTACGCTTCAGACAGGGAATTCCCCATGAGTTACCCAGGGATTTTCTGAAGAAAATGAAGTAAATGCACACTGAGGGCCATGTTCCCCTCAGGAACACAACAAAGGTAAGTCACTCTCCACAGCAGATGTCTCTGCTGTTAAGTCCCTATTCAGTCACCAGCTGTTGGCCCAATCATATCCTTTTTTGCAAAGGAGACATGGGGTATCTGCTCTGTTATGTTTAAGTTTAGCCTTACAATCTTTGCATACATGTCTGGGTTTTCCCTAGAAAATCCTAGATCCCCCATCTCCCAAACGAGTGCACAGTGAAAGCCCAAATGAATGAGACAAGCAGTATGATCTTTAGGGCTCCAGGAGGACTAAAATTCTCTGCAGAGTTTATATAACCCTGATAGCTGAGACAGATCTGTTTCTGGGCAGCCCGTATTTATTCAAAACAAGGAAAGGATTGAATCCCGTATTTATTCAAAACAAGGAAGGGATTGAATGGAAAACGCAGGAAACCTGAGCAGAATCTCAGGAGGGGGTTCAAGGATTCCTCAGAGCAACAGATGACGCTAATCAAGGAGAACTATCCTAGGAGAAAGTCTCCAGGTGGCTTCAGCTGTGGCCTATCTGGCCCCCTGAGGCATCTCCTGGTTCTCAGTTCAACCATGCCCGGGGCAACGCCACAGCCCTGTATATGTATTCAGCTTCAACAGTTCCAACCCCAATAGCATGCAGCATACAAGAAACACATTTTTTCTTTCTTTCTTTCTTTTTTTTTTTTTGGTACCAGGGATCGAACTCATGACCGCCTGCTTGCAAGGCAGGTGCTTATGCCGCTGAACTAAATCCCCAGCTCCAAGAAACACATTCAACTCAAAAAGAAATTCATAGACTGAGACTCAAAGGATGGGGAACAATACTCCATGTGACAGGAACCCAGAAAAAAGCAGGGGTAGCTACTCTATTTGCAGACAAAAGTGGATTTCAAGCCAAGACTAACTAAGAGAGACAAAAAAGGTCACTGCATCCTTGTAAGGGGAACAATCCAAGAGGAAGAGATAAATATCATAAATATACATGCACCAAATACCAGTGCACCCTACTATATAAAACAAATATTAGATAGGAAAAATCAAATAAGTAGGAAAACAATTATAATGGGGGACCTCAATACCCCTCAACAAACAGATCAACTGGACAAAAAGTTTAAAAAAAATCAGAGAGGAACTAGACTTATAAACAAATGAACTTAGTTGATGTCTACAGTATTCTACCCCACAGAAAATCATATTATATTTCTGTAAGTTGTACATGAGATGTTCTCTGAAACAGACCATATACTGGCAGCCAGCACAGCGGTGCCCAAATCTGTGTGAGGACAGGCATAGCAGAGGCAGGCCTAGGGTGACAGCAGGAGGCCAGCAGGGGTCTTTCCAAAGGCCTTTCAACGCCAAGCCCAGCCAGGCTGCTCTGAACCCTTGGACTCCGACCCTGGGCCCCCAGCACTCTCAGCTCCTTGCTCACTGACCCTGGGCTCGGACACAGCATCTCCCGGGGTCGCAGTCATGTGAGTGCCTGCCCAGCTCCACAGTCTCCAGTCTTGGGAGACTGTGTAATTTAACCAGATGTATGTTTGTTTTCTGTCTATTGAGGGGCACAGCAGAAAAAGGAGAAGGGAAGAAAGGCCTGATTTCTAGGGTGTCATGATGGACCACACAGTCAGACACCTACCTCTAATGGGGTTATCAGGTACATTTCCAAAATCCTAATGCCTGGTCAAACTTATTGGAGTTTCTGCTGTTTACAAGCAGTAGTGTATCTCACCTGTTGTTAAATCTGAATGTTTTTGGGGAATCAGGGTCTTGCTTTGTCATTTATGCTGGCTTTGAACTCACTATGTGGTCCAGGATGCACTGGAACTTGGGGCGATCCTCCTGCCTCAGCCTCCTGTGAGAGTCAGCACTGAAAGTGTGCTTATGAAACACGTTGCCTTTAAGCTGTCGTATGACCCATCCTGAAGTATCAGCTGCTAAAAGACTGCAGATGGAGCCCAGCAGGACTAGGAGGGAGGGAATGGGGGTCGTTCGCTGTGCTGTTTCCCAAGCTGTCCCCAATGCTGAGGAGCTTGTGCCGCCTTCTTGAGCTGTCGCCTGAAAGCCTTGTTACAGGAAGCTTCTGGTTCTCCTTTTCCGCGTGGCGGCTTTGGTCCTCACAGCTTGTCTGGGACTGCGTGCTCTGGAGCAGTCAGCAGACCCCTCCTCATGTCCATCTGTGCCACGGGTCTTCTTTCATCAAAGCAGGAGTCTCCGTCAGAGATCAGTCCCAGTGGTGACTGGGAAACTGCACCCCAATATTGATTATAGGCATGTACCACCCCACCTGGCACTAAACCTGAAATTAACAAGGGGAAAAATCCATAAAGTTAGCATTAAATGGAAATAAATATACCTATACTAAAAAATATTTTAAAATAAACTCAAAAGAAAGTAGGAGGCAACCATGGTGGCACAGGCCTGTGATCCCAGCACTCGGGAGGCTGAGACAGGGATAAGTCTGAGTTTGAGGCAGCCTAGGCTACATAGTGAGACCCTGTCTCAAGGACAAAAAACAAACAAAAAAGGAAAAAAAAGCAAGAGTCTTATGTAAGCTGATGGCAGCCCCTGCATAATACACTGGAATTCCAACTTTTCAGTAATTCTTTTTCCTCCTCCTCCTCCTCCTCCTCTTCCTCCTCTTCTAATTCTTTTTCTTTTTGAGGCAGGATCTCACTGTGTAATTCAGGCTGATGCTGGACTTCCACTCACTATGCAGCCCAAGCTGGTTTTGAATTAAAGTGATCCCCCTGCTTTAGCATCCTGTTCAGCTTTCAGTAAGTCCATTGAAACTGTGGTTTTCTTTATTGTCTTACTGCAATATTGTGTATCCACACTCACAGTATCTGCTGGAAGTCTCGGCACTGCCCTTACTGGCTCCCCGGCTCCCCAGTCTGGGTCACAGTTCTCCGCTTTTCTGCCCATCTGTTAATGCTGTGAGCCGAGGGCACTGCTAGAAACCGAACAGAAGAAGATGGGGGTCCCATGGCAGAAATTCAAGGCCGGCAGAGTCCTAAGGTTTGACCTGCCGTCTCTGTTGGCAGGGTGCAGTGGGGGGAACTGAGCCAGGGCTTGAGGCAAACTAGGCGAGGCGAGCTGTCTACCCCTGGGCTGCCCCCAGCCTCGGAGGGTTTGCTCTGGAAATCCCGGGGTTTCCCAGGCGGAGCCCCGGACTGCACTGGGCAGAAAGATTGTTTTTTGTTTCAACCAGTTTGTTTACTTAGAAACAGAAACACTCCTCTGTAGTTAAATGACAAATGCCAACCTCGGGTGGCCACTGGATCAGGGAGTTTCCTATAGATGCAGGGTGAATGTGTGCTTTCCCTGTCTAGTGACCACACAAACATCAGACAGGTCTCTCTCAGTGCGGCCACTGTTGGAATTCTGGGCCAAGGCCACACTTGTGACGGCTGCCGGCGTCTGGCGGTCGTCCGCTTGCCTGGCTTTCTGTGGATCTTTCCACGGCTGTGTGTATTCAAGCTCTGTCTGAGCAGCTCATCGCTGGATGTTTACTACTTGTATACCCTGGCTTAGCTGCCCTGCCCTGACATCACCCATTTCCGTGGAAGCGAAGCAAAGGGAAACCAACAGGACGGACAGAGAGAAAGTTTAATAGTTCGGCTTTAAATAGAAAAGCAACCACCTGATGGAATTCTTCAGTTGGATTGCTCTATCTTCTTTGGTTTTGGGTTTTTATTGTTACGATTGTTATAAACTGGAACAGTGAATGCAAAATGAGGGTGACCCTGTGGGTGTAAAGGAATAGTGAAGAAACAATCCTTTAAATCAACAATAAAGAGTTAAAATTCACAAGGATAAGGTTAGGATTAGGAAGATCACATTGTAAGGGGCCATCGGCCTGTGTAGCTCGGATTGGCTTTGAACTTGCCGATCCTCCTGCTTTGGCTCTCAAAAGCTCTGATTACAGTTGTGCACCACCTCACCTGGAAGGTTCTGTGTTTTTCATAAGTTAACTGTGAGAGTTTTTATTTTATCTGTATTAAAAAGTAACAGTTTAACCCACGAGAAAAAAAGATTGTATATTGTGCTTTTGAGTTCCTTTTGGTAATAAAATGATTATACTAAAAAAAGTAAAGCACAACAGTGAAAGAAAGCTCACGCTCTCAGCCATCATTGCCTTCCTTCCTGGGAGCACACTTCACTTTCTATATGGATGAGGATGTTCACTTTACATCCCCAGTGGTTTTCTTACACGTTAACTGGAATTCAGCTCTCCACAGCTTGGTTTCCGGTTTCGGGTAGAATCAGAGAATGAGCTCCTGGGGACTGGCTCTCACCCAGCCGTGCCGCCTGGGTCAGCATCTCAGAAGAAGGCAGTAGTGAAAGCTTCCTTGTCTCCAGGAAAACTTCCAGAAACTTGCTGAGGAAGTCAGAAATCTTGCAGCAGCCAGGGTCCTTGTTGTCAGTCACTTGTTGAGTGACACTGGGACCTGGCTGAAGCAGAACCTGTGGAACAGGACAGGGGCCCTGAAGCCATGGCACTGCCACCCAGGACCCATCCCCAGAGGAGCCCTCTGGAAGCTCCCTGAGGTGTGTGCAGGTGGTGGCTAATACCTGCGATCCCAGCACCCAGGAGGCTGAGGCAGGAGGATCACAAGTTTGTGGCCAGCTTGGGGTACATAGTAGAACCCTGTCTCAGACAAACAAACCTGTAAACAGCTGTGAGGTCTGCCACCACAACCTCATAAAACCCACCAAACCCAGCAAGGAAAACTGATGACCTGATCTCTGCCAATAGGACAAGATCGGAAGTGCAGTCCTCAAGCCTTCTGTGCTACCCTGCTGCATCTGAGTGTAGACAGAACTCACTGTGCCCACCAGCAGGCTCTGCATTTGGGGTCTGGACACCCCCCATATCTTGATTGTTGGGGTGCACCATAAGTGTGGGTGGGGCACACCACAAGTGTGAACAGAAACGGGTGTGCACTGTGGGTGTGTGTGTGGGGTGTTCCCCCAAGTGTGGCTATGTGTGCAAACTCATCATGAGTTAGCAGAAACTTAGCACTTCTCTGGCATGTGAAGTACCTGTCACCCTCTCCACTTTGGGCTCTACAGAGAGCTTTGTTGGGATCTGGGCTGGACAGTGGGAAGGCTGTCACCATGGCTGGTGTGGGCTGTGATTGGGCACCTCAGCTCCACACTCTCCTTTGTGGTCATCCAGTGTCCTGAAAGAGGGTCAGGGGGGACCTGATCAGCTGAGTCCAGAGGTAAGACAGGACTGCTCCCAGTGCAGTCCGGGGATTCATCTCCTGGGATTCGTCTCCTCGTCTCCTCCATCCCTTCCACTGTGGCCTTCCCACCCTGATGTTCGGGGGCCCTCCTCCTTCTCTCCTCTCCCCACCTCAGTCCTTGGTTGTCTCCCCCTTAACTCCATCCTTACTGTGTCACTCTGGAAGAGGAGATACAGCCTTTCAAAGTGCAATCTGCTGTTTGTGTTTGTGTAATTAACACTTTACCAGGACCATGCACGTGAAAGGTGCTGAAGAATTGTGGATGAGTGAATGCCATCCCACTATGGGAGGCCGAGGCAAGAAGATTACAATTTAGTGACTTAGCCACATGCTGTCTCAAAAAACTTTTAAGGGCTGAGGATTTAGCCCTGTGAGAAGGCCCTGGATCTCATCCCCACCATTGCAAAATAGTTATTAATTAATTTTAAAAGATGAGTCCTGCTGTGCAGATGTGGTCTCAGGTACACTGGAAAGATACATCACAAGGTCTTGATCTGGTTGTTCTTGCTTTAAAAATGGATTTGAATGGCCACAAGTGCAACACAAGTGCTAAGGCTCCAGCTGACTCCAAAGAGAGCAGCTGCCATCAAGAATGACAAATGCGGACAGGCCCAAGCCGGGGGGCCTTGTCTCCTTCTGTGGGTGCGGGGAGGGAGTCGAAAGCCTGAGCTCCGTGAGAGCCAGCTCTTCCCCACCTGGTCATCGTAGCCTGGGGATCCACGCACAGCCATGTTCACACTGACAGCTGTAAGGTGGCCTTCGTGTCCCCCAGTGTGCGCGGGGGAAGACAGTGTGGTTTTTCTGCTCCACAGAACATGGCTCTGCTGTAATGGGGTGGGGGTGGGGCTGCACTGCTCCCTGTGCCAGGAAAGGCTGCATCTTGAGCACATGGTGCTTAGGGTCTCTGTGTTCTGCAGAGGCCAGAGTGCAGACCCGGGCGAATTCTCAAAGGACTTTCTCACAGTGTTGCTGCCAGCCATTTCTTCAGAATCATCCAGATAGGCATCCTCTCCATTTTGCTCTTCTTCCTTCCATGTGAGAGGCCACAAGAAATCCTGTGGTGACTCGCCTGCCCCTGAGTCCTGTGTGGACAGCTTGCGACAGCTCATGGAAAAGCTTAACCTTCCCAGCCCGCGGCGATTCAGGGCTGCCCTCGGAAGGTGACCTGGCTCCTCTGCCTGCCAGTGCTGAGTCCACGGCTTCAGGAAAATCAAGCTCCTCGGGGACGGCGGCCTGGGCATCACTGTGCCATGGGAGGGAGGGACTGAGTTACACTGTGAACTGCACAGGCATTGCTTGGGTTGCTAGAGGAAGAAGAGAGGGAGGGAGGGAGAGAGAAACAGAGACAGGGAGAGAGACAGAGACAGAGACAGAGAGAAGGAGAGGCCCTGTGAAGGAGTGGCGCACAGCGGGCAGAGAAAACCACCCTGGACAGGCAGGTGCAGTCCTGCGGAAGCTTGCTCCCCAGCACCAGCATGGTTAAATAGACACAACAGGGGAGGCAGAGAGTGGGGGGGAGTAGGGGGGGTAGAGTGGGGGGTGGGGAACGTGTCCCTCTGCCAAAGTTCCAGAGGATGGAGGAAGTGCAGGAGGGCACAGCTGCTGACACCTGTTCTGTTGCCGATGGCAAAAGCGGAAGCCGCCTCGTGTGAAGAATTCATGGCCATGGCTGGTGTTTCCAGCACCTGCTGGCCTAAAGGTCCGCTCCGACCTGAGACCTGGGTGAACACAGAGCCCTGGTCCTCAGGGTGGGCGCCAAGGACACCACCGGGGAGAGAACAAATCCCTTAACCCACCTGCATAGATAAGATCTGGCTAGGTTGCACAGGTTGACTTCAAACTCCTGGGAACAAGTGACTCTCCTGCCTCAACCTCCGAAGTAGTTGGGACCGCAGGATACTGTGCCCAGCAAAATTGCCTAATTTTACAGTTGGTTTTTATTTGAGGTCTTAGATGTTCACAAAAAAATTAAACAGTTTTTAAGAAAATAACCATGATAGAAGTATTCTACTTTGGGTTGGGGATACAGCTTAGCAGCACCATGCTTGCATGGCAAGTGCAAGGTTGTGAGTTCAATCCCCAGTACCAAAAATAAAAAATATCCTCCATCAGTACCAGTATCAGTGGGTACACAAGGCACAGGGCTGTCATTGATGGTGAAGCAGCCAGTGCCATTGGAACCCTGGCTTTCTCATCCTGCGCATATGTATGTGGAGTAAGGGCCAGGACCTTGGACTTCTCCTCTGAGGACACCATTGTGTTGGTGAGAGTGGAGCCCTCTCAAGTTTACCTCCCACTGGCCCCACCTCGACACACAATGAGTACACGGGGGTGCTGAGTTTCAGCTCAGGAGTCTGGGCCAACACCAACCTTGGGGGCACAGCAGAGAGGGAGGGGCTGTGGGTTCTCCCAGGCACTGGCACAGGGAGGATATCCCTGCCTGCTTCACCAGTCTCCTGATTCGCCTGCCTGCTGGCTCCTCAGACCTGCGGGTCCCCATAGAGGGGAGCAACCTCAGTTAAACCTAGCAACCTTGACCTCAGAGACTTCTCCTGGCTCAGCAGAGGGCACAACACCCCCCCACCACCACCACATGAGCCCTTCTCTGCAGAGCTCTGCAGATTCTGAGCCTCCACTCTAGGGTTTCACCTGGCACCAACCTTCAGCCAACCTCTGCATTCCTGTGTCCTTGCAGATCAGAGGGACTGGGTTGCTCAGGTTTTAACCCTTCCTGGGCTCCTGTATGGGACAGCAGAGGAGGCAGGACAGCGAGCCAGGACTATGATCTAATCAAGATCAAGAGGAAGTCATCAGTCAGCACTGCACTTGGGTCTCTCCTGGCTCTGCTGGGCAGAAACAAAAGAAGGCAAACACCTGCCATTGACAGTGGTCCCCAGGCCCCACGGGAGAGGGCTGTTTGCACGCAGCAGCGCTGACCTCAAACATCTGCCTCCTGGCTTTCAACATGAGCTCCCTGGAACTCCGAGCATTGGGTGCAAATCCACAAGCCGGACATGGTCCTGGGCTGTACCAGGTGGCGGCTATTGAGTGCCACCAAGTCAGACACTGGAAGGGGCTTCAAGGTGCAGCACTAGCATGTGTTCACTGCAGGTTAAAACACTGGAAACCCAACAGTCTGCTTCTGAAGCTTCAGACTCCACCCGAATTCCCTCACCAGCCCCATGCGGACTCACAGACACAGGCAGGGAAGACTCAACTCTGCCCCTCCAGCACCACATCTCCCCCGCCTCCTGGCTGCTGTGCAGTGGCCTCCCTGCTCCCAGTCCTTACCCAAGGCCTCTGCAGCCCAATTCCCTCACAGCTGCAGGGCCGGGACTATTCTTTTCCCACACAAGACCTCACTGAGTCCCTGGCTCTTGGGACATCGGGCTCCCCTGACCTCCGCTATACCTGCCTGTGTACTCTCCTGGGAATGATCCCTCCGGGTTCCTCCTAGTTGGCTCTGGCACATTCACCTGCTGAATTTGCCTTGTGGCCTGGTCACTGCTGGGGGCTTTCATGTCTGTTTTCTAATGATGTGGTATGGTTCATCTGCTTCCCGGAAACGGAAGCTCCTTGAAGAGCAGGGGCCACACGGCTGTGTCCTTGGCTCCAGAGTTGTTACGACACCTGGAAGGGGCACAGCAAGAGCTCTGGAGGGAGTGGGCAAACAGAAACATGTTTCCTGCGCGCTGGGAATGGGACTCAGACTGGCCGAACGTGGGCCCAAGATATTGGGCCCTGAGCTGTGATAAGCAGTAGCAGGCAGAATGAAAGGTCTTGAGACGACACTGCTCTAGTGACCCCCGTGCCTATGATGAGTGCTCTTGGAAAAGGTGGAAGGGGAGGAAGCATGTGAGGACAGGGTAGTGACTGAGGACAGGGTAGTGACTGAGCTCCGCCTCCGCATGGAGGAGCCCCACCAACACCTTGATTTCAGACCTCTGGCTTCCACAATTTCTGCTGCTTTAAGTCAGAGTCTGGGTACTCTATCACGCAGCCCAGGAAACTTGGGCTCCATCTTCCCAAGGTTACCTTCTTCCCAGGAGTGTCCTCTTGTCTAAGTGCCACTCTTCTTACAAAGACACCAGTGACTGGATCATGGTTCGACCCATCCTGTGAGACATGGGTTTAACATGGTTACCTCTGCGAAGGTCTTCTGCTTCTCTAAGGTCACATTCACAGGCACCAGGGTTGGGACTTCAGTGCATCTTTTTATCATACAGGCATGAAAAACGATGGGTTCTAAATGACTTGTATGTTCAGCACAATAGTCCTACAGCTGTGCCCTGTAGAATAGACGATGAAGGAAGAATACAACAAAGGCCAGAGCTTTGGGGTCAGGCAAGACGGGCCATGTTACTCCCTGCCAAGACTCTTGGCCTTGTTGTTGTGCAAGGCAATGGGGCCAGACAGCCATGGACTGAACCCTCTGAACCGTGAGCCAAATATACGGTATCCTTGCCCTGGAAGCTGACTTGCTTGGCAGGAGGCTCAGAGGGCAGTGAAGGAGGAAGCAGGCTCTGAAGGAACTTCAGGAATGTGGAAAGCCTCAGGGCAGGGCAGGGCAGGGCCTGGAGACTGAAGGGACATAGAGGCAGGCTCCCTGCCCCTCCTCCGTGCCTCCCTAGTGGTTTAAAGGTCGTTTTTCTTTCTTTCTTTCTTTCTTTTTTTTTTTTTTTTTTTTTTTTTTTTGGTACTGGGAATTGAACTTACAACCTCATGCTTGCCACACAGGTACTTAAGCCACTGAGCTAAATCCCCAGCCCCACAAAGGTCATTTTTCTTGTTTGTTCCACACACAGAAAGAAGCAAAGCTTAATGTCAAGTGAGAAGCAAAAAGAAAAGGAAGAAGGCAGAGATGGGGAAAGGGCAGCCTGCGTGGCTGGGAGTGTGAGTTAGCTTTTCCCCCACTAAGTACTAAGACTCTGGACTGTGGCTCAGCTCCTTAGGGTCAAGGGGACCGGACCCCCATTTCACAGGCCAGGTCCCCAACCTCCAGCCTGGAAGCTTGTGTGCAGAAGGAGGGACATTCCTACCAGCCCCACATGGGGATGTGTGTAATCAAGCGTAAACGTACACATATACTTGCACACATGCACACACACACACATGCACACATGCATACACACACACTCTGTGTGAGTTGGCCTGGGTGTCCACCTACATCAGGATGGCTCTGAATCATGACCAAGGCAGGATGGGAGAAGAACCAGGATTGGGGGCTTTAGGCAGCACCAGGACAAACCCCTGGGGACATTTTTAAGAATTGTTCTATTCCCAAACAACACAATCATGCACACAAAACAAAATAAAACTCCAGGATAAAACAGGCACAAAACCAGGAGTTAGCTTTTCCCCCCTAAGTACTAGGGATTGAACCCAGAGCCTTCACATTGAGCTACACCCCCAGCCCTTTTAATTTTACCTATTTTATTTTATTTTAAAGCCAGAGTCTCTCTAGTCACTAACGTGCCCAGGTTGGGCTCAAACTTGTAATCCTCCTGCCTCAGCCTCCCAGAGCACTAGGATCAGGAAATACCTTGCTAACCACCTTGCAAGTCTAAAAATAGAATCTCCCTGTTCTGACCACAACCCCTTCCTTCCCCCAACTACACTTTTGCAGGGCCACAGGTAGGTCTCTGGCTGTCTTAGCTTCAAGGTATGTGCCCAGTCCCCCAGGTTGATCCCATTCAGTTTTCACTGGTCTGGCTTCATAGCTGGCTTCATAGCTGCCTTCATCTCTGGGGCCCCTAGGATCCTTCCCCTCCCATTTCCCAGGGCTGCGCCCAGCAGAGGAGCCTAGAGCCACCCCCACCCCCCACCCCCACCCCCGCCCCAGGAGTTCCCCTGGCCCTGGCCCAGTGCTGCAACCCAGGACAGCCCTCTGTCTGCGGGTCAGAACCCACTGGGACTCCGTCTGATCTGCACAGGCAGCAGGCAGGAGATGAGAGGGATGAGGGGAGCTGGGGTGTGGGGGAGGCTGGGAAGCTGGGGTCCGCAGGGCAGTCTCCTCATTGACCCACTGGGGGCTGGGGGTTGGTGACAGCAGGATACCACACAGGGTCACCTTGGGTGCAGCCTGTGCTGAGACCGCACTTTCCACACATTCCCTCCTTACTCCAGGGTGTCCTTGGCTCTGCAGTTTGCAGAGGACTAAAGGCTCCCAACTGCTTCCTAAGCCAGACAGGCCCTCCCTGAGGACAGAGAGCGGCTCCCAATTCCAGGGCTCCCTAGACCCCAGGACAGTGCTCAAAGAGAGGCCAGGAGCCTGACCCCCAAGCACTGGGGACTGTTACCTGCCCCTGAGCCCCACTGGGTTCCTGGTGACATCTCCACTCATCAGGCAGATGACTGGGGCCATGTGTCCATCACTCAAGGGAAGCCTTGGAGTCAGGACCTGTGGGTCAGTGAGACTCATTTCCGGGTCCAGGGTGATAAGTGCAGTGTCACAGCACTGCAGATCTGGTGTCTGGTGAGGGCCAGCTTCCTGGTCCCTACATGGCACCTTCTAGCTCTCTCAGGTCTCTTTATAAGGACACTAATTCTGTTCTGGGGGATTGTACCATGTGGCCTGATCATTTCCTGTATTACCCACTGGCAGCACTGTCGCCTCAGGGACAGGACACCAACCTGAGAGCTTTGGGACCTTCCCTTTCCTTAAGTTGCTTGGCACTGATACCAGAAGGAAGTAGATGAGTGAGGATGGGGAATGAGGGAAGGATTCCTGCAGCCATCTCAGCCTGTGTGTGAGGCTGGGGGTGGGAAGGTGATGAGGCCTGGAAGTAGGGGTCAGAGCACAGGGTGCTTCTGGCTGGGTTGGCTGCTGTCTGAGGGGAGTGCATGTGCTGTGTGGGGCAGGGAAGCAGGCAACCGTGACACAAGTCTAGGTTCTAAGAGTAACAGAGTGGAGGGGACCAGCTTGGGAAATGTGTCTCATGTCAGATGGAACTTTCCAGAAGCATCAGTACCACAAGGAGTGGAGAGAGCTGACTGCTGAGGGAGCCCCGTGTACCTGTACCCTGTCCCTGCCACCAGGGTTGGCATGGAGGAGGGGTAGACGTGATCCTGGTGTCACACCACACCATGCCATGCACTGCTCTGCTGAAAACCCAGCTCCCAGATCCTAAGCCTGGCCCCCAGGAAGAATTAAAACAGGGCAAAGAGTGGTACAACGAAAGGTGGGGAGAAGATGGAGAAGACAGAGGCCTGGCAGCTGCCACAGTGGCCCCGGTATCGGAGGTGACAGCCTGTGTGGAGCTCTCACCTCAGCCCTCTATAGGGACGGAAGACAGTGTCTCTCCCACTCCAGGGGCACTCAAAACTTCCATCCTAACTGAGGCCTCCTGGCCGTTTAGTGTCTTCCTCTCCTTTCCAGTGAAAGGCGGAAGGCCTGTGGGGAAGGTGCCTTTCGTAATGACCAAGTGAAGGGGACTCCTGTGCAGGTGCGTATATAGGGTAAGTTATACCGATGATAAGGTGTGTGCATGTGTGCGGCATCTTACGTATTAAGTAAGAGTCCTCAGGTGGGGCCTCCTATTGCTCTTGCATTCTGCCAACTGGGAGGGGAGCTGGCTTTCCTGGTCACTGTGCTGCTGATGTCCTCTCTGTCCAGCTGGCTTTTCCCTCATTTGTCTGTCTCGTCACCCTAACTGCAGAATCTACCTGTGAAGGCAGACCTTACTTTTTTTGTTTTGTTTTTGTCTTTTTCCTTTTTATTGGTACCAGGGATAGAACTCAGGACTGCCTGCTTGCAAGGCAGGTGCTTATGTCGCTGAGCTAAATCCCCAGCCCCTGGCAGACCCTACTTTTACTAGGTTTTCCTATTGGTTTTAACAAGGCTCAGTGAGACCTTTGTCCAATCTTTTCCCATAGGGCCCCTTGCCCCTGCACTGGGAAAAGCATCTGCAGAAGTGACCATGGGAGGTTTCATGACTGAGTTCTAGACCACAAGGAGGGGAGGGGTGACAAGAAGAGCAAGTGGGAGGAACATGTGGAGGAGGGCAGCAGCAAAGACGCAGAGGTGCCAGGGTAGGGGGCTGTGCCATCTGCACTGTTTCCCAGGAGAATGAGCCACTGAAGGCCAGGCCTGGGATAGAGATGGAGCCTGGCCTGCACCTCCAGAGGGGTAAGTGGCATCCTGTAACTGGTGTCACCTGGTCCACAAACATTGGCGCTCCCAGTTCCCTGTGTAGACCCTGCTAGCTGCCCCACTTCCTCACCAGATCAACGTGACCTAAGCTGCGGTACCTGTGACCTGGTTGGCTCAGCAAGGTTCTGACCCATCTCATCCTCACCTCATGATTGTGCTCTATGAAACTTCCTCTGGAGAGAGAAGTCACCAGCCCACGCAAGTCACTTCTGCCTCACAGGAGCTGTGTCTCTCTAAAAGATTCCTACTTTTAACCTTCGTGTTCCTTACCACTCATTCTCTGATTTAGGGGAACACAAACTTGGCTTACCTGACATCTAGCAGGTTAGGAGTTATATCACAGGCCACAGAATGTTTTGCAAGAGGTCTGGCTCAGGCTGCCATGGAGGTGGCAGGTCCTTCCTGTGGGTGCTCTTTGCTGAGCAAAAGGACAAACATGAGCTGAGGTACCCACACTCTGCCTCTGTCCTGCGTTTCCAGGGTTCAGGTGCAATGTAGGAGTCATAGGAATCCCACAGTGGAGACCTGGGAAGGGGCCCAAGTCTGCACATTCCCCACAGGAAGTGCCCCTGCATTCCTTCCAGGAAGTGCCCATGCTGCTTGGGCACAGTGACACTGATAGTCTCCTGGGAACAGCTGGCATTAGCCATCCAGGTCAGGTTGTGGGCAACACCAGCAGTGATCCTTGAACCCGGTTTATGAACCTGGATTTAAATGACTGAGCTGCAGGCCTGAGTTACTGTGGGCTTTCGTTGCCCAGGAAGCCCTTTGGCATCCAGCCAGTCTCACCCACATATTCTTTCCTTCCTCTCCAGCCAAAAGCAAAACAAACACATGAGTCTAGACCTTGCAGCCCAGGCCGTGATCTTCAGAGCCACCTCTGTTTCCAGAGCTCCCTCGATTCCCTGGGAAACAGTGCGGTGTGAGATGCCTAGTGACTTCGCTCTGTTGTCTCTGGGGTTGGCACCTCCACTGTTGCCTCCTAATGATGCAGAGCTCCTGGGGACTTGCTGCTCGCAGCCTCAGAGGCTGGAGTCTCCGAGTTTCTTTTTCTCTTCTGCATGGGCTAGCACCTGTGAGGTGCTGTACTCCCTGACCCAGTGCTCCTGCTCATCCCAAGTGCAGTTTGTTTAGAGCAAATTTATCCACGTCCGGAGCAGGCAGCCTCACCCCAAAACACTGTGATAGAAGTCTCAGGGCGCAGAATTCCCCCAGCAAGACCCGGCATTCCAGTAGCCTCTGCCGGCACCATGTTGATAGCAGCACAGTTCACAACAGCTGAGTCTCAGAATTGGAATGTATGTCCATCAACAGATGAAAGGACAAAGGAAATGTGGCAGTGATGCACCATGGAGTGCGACCATGTCATAAAGAAGGATACATGAATCATTTGTAGGAAAGGGGACGCAGCTGGAGATCATAATGTTATTTAAACATCTGTGTCTGAAATAAATCACATACAGATGTTTAAATATCACATGGTCTCTCTTAGAGGACAGACCTGAGTGTCAATAAAGTGCAAATTGAAAGACAGACAGTAGAAGTAAGGAGATGGACCTTTTGCAAAAGGGAGGAGGACTGCTGAGCATGGTGGCACCCACCATAATTCCGTCCCACCCCATGCAACCCAGCAGCCATAACACTTTCCACCCTACACTTTCCCGTCTGCTTCCAACCTTAGCTGCCTGAGTGGCCCGGGAACCCCAACTCCTAATTGCTGCAGCCCATTGTGTCTGACACCTCTGGTGCTGCCATCTCTGCCCCCCAGCTGCATCTCCTCCCTTCAGGGAGTGCTGGGCCCTGCCGTGTGCATGTGAACATGTGTAATGTCCAGGAGACCTTTCAGGAAACAGCCTTGCCTGTGTCACGCCGCCAGTGGGACCCGAGGGACACCTGGGGTGGTGCTGAGCCAGCCAGGAAGGGGTTGGCACTGAGATGGGGATGGGCAAGACACAGGAACAGGGCTATTGCAGGACCTGCTCAGGAGCTGTGACTCCCGTAGGGTGAGGGTGGCCGGGCGCACACCTCAAGCTCAGGAGGGAAGCCAGATGTGGCCACAGAGCCTGATGCATTTACCTCTGCTCCTCCTGCTCCCAGAAAGTATTTGCCTCCTGGAACATGGGAGTGCTCTCTGCGTGGCGTTGTTTGTAATGGGCAAGAAGCTGGGGAGAGTTAAAATCCACCAATGGTAGAATAAACAACATTCCTATGATGGCTATTAACCTGATGGAAATTGTCAAACGGTGGTGGCACGAAACCTTGGATGATTCCTGTAAACCAGTCTGAGCAAATGAAGCAGCCCCAAAACACAAGATTCTTTTCCTAGCAAGGCCCAGCTATCTAACTTAGGGTGCCTATGTGGATGGCAAGACAGAAAGGAAAGCAAGCAATTATCAGAAAGAATGGGCCAGGTGTGGCAGTACACACCTGTAATCTCAGCACTCAGGAGGCTGAGGCAGGAGAATGGCTATGAGTTTCAGGCCAGCTTGGACTACATAGTGAGACTGTCTTGAAAAAAAGTTATCTGTAAACTCAACGGTTTTAGGCTGAGGCAGGAGGATGTAAAGCAGCTCAGTGACTTAGTGAGGCCCTGTCTCGAAATTTAAAAAGGGCTGGGGTGTAGCCACATGAGAGGTCCTGGATTCAGACCTCAGTCCTAGAGAAGAGGAAGAGGAGAGGAGGAAGAAGTTAAGGCTGTGAGGACCATATGCATGGGCCGTGTTGTCCACAACCTGGTGTGGACAACGGTCCCACTGGCCTCTCTCTGCTGGCCTGACCTGTGCAGTCCATGGCCTTGAAGCAGCAGTGCAGTGTGGCAGCAAATACTGTACCTGCTGGGTAACAAGTGGCCCTCACCCAGAGGTGTGGACCCCCCATACTGGCCTGCAGATAGCTGCAGGCAGAGATGTGGCCAGGCCCACAGTCCTGGTGAGGACAGTATTCGGCCCTGAGGGGCAGGGTGCTGATGGGTATTCAGTGTTCTTCCCTGTTTCTCGTGGGGCATTGAGGCTGCCTAGGCTTTGGTCAGGCAGTCAGACCCTTGGGATCTGGAGTGGAGCCTAGCCACCAGGGGCTGAGCTAGGGGGGTGACATGAGAGAGGCTGTGATGCCAGCAGCAGGGACAGGAGGCCAGGGACGGCCGGGGCACACACACGGTCAGCAGTGTTCCTGTGGGCCATGCCACTGGGCTCGGGCGATGGGCAGGGCCACCAGCTGCACCCCTCTGTCCCTTCCCCACACTGGCAGCTGCTGTCTCCTCCTCCTCTAACCCCCAAGACAAATCCCTGTCACAGGAAGAGACCCCGAATCAGGCCAGGAAAGGCTGTGGGGCCCAAGCCTGGGCTTGGGTTTCCACCCTGCACCAAGAAGGTTCACCTGTACCCAGGGGACTTCCTGTCCTGGGGTCGGCAGTGCAGGTGGCCGGGTGACAGGGAGTGCAGTCAGAAACTGGATAATGTTCACCAACCCCCAGACCAGAGCCCCAGCTGACGCAGATAAGGTCCTGGCACATGTAGTGACAGGAAGTCCCTGCCTGGGCTTGTGAGCGAGGCTGCGTCATAAAAACACTGCCTGACAGTGACTTCTCTGCCAGTCATGGTGCCTGTGCTTTCCGCTCTGCAACGTGGGGGACTGCACCGAGGCAGGGTGCGGTCACTGTGCTCTGTCCTGTGGTGGTGGTGCCCAGTGCAGCCCTGCTGAGGTCATAACAAAGCCCTGACTGTCTCATGTACACTTGTTTTGAAACCCCAGGGCACAAGATGCTGAATCACTCCCGGGCCCACAGAGCCCAGTAGCTGCCTCCACCCTCGCTCGTGCTTGGCAGTGCTCCAGCCAGGTGGGAACCCGGCCCTTGAGGGGAGCCCCTTCCCACATCTCTGTCCAGCATTTGGGCTGGGCCATGTCCGGGCCTCCTGGACTTCCAACCCACATTTGCGAGTGTGGATTCCTGGGGTGTACGCATGCCTTGGACTTTTCACCCAGTGCTGGGGACCCGTGGGCACTGATATGCAGACCCTAAACTGGGTGTTGCTGCGTACAGTGTTGCACCCCCCCGCCGCCACTGCATCCTTCTGCCCTTGTCAGATGCACCACACAGGCCAGGGCTGAGGCTGCCCCTTGCCCAGACCCTGCCGTCTGCCCCAAGCATCTCGGGGGACACTGTAGCCTTGCCAGCGCCCCCAGGTCAGCAGGCCAGAGCTCGATGCAAAGGGAACATTCTGTTTCTGGACAGTGGGTGCTTGTCCCTGCGCCTGGCAGGGCTTCAAGGTCCTTTGTGCCACTTGGAGGATGCTGTGGGCTTTGTTCTCTCCCAGGCCGTTGTTCCCAGCCCTTTTATTCTTGCACTATCCTTCTGCTCAGCCTGGGCTCGATCTCCTGTCCTGGTCTCCCACATCCCGTTCTTCCCCTCTCGGCCCAGTGACATCAGAGCTGCCCACCTTCCCTCGTCCTTCTCACTCTCACTGGGCTGTGCCCTAGAGCTGGTTCTGGGCCAGGCCCATGGGGCCCAGTGCCAAGACCCCCAGCCTGCTTTGCCTCATACCCCGAGGTCTCGAGAACCAGACAGGCAGCTGCCCTGGCACATGAGTTTCCAAGCATTCTGTGGCCACACTGGCAGCCAGCTTCCCACTGAGAGCCTGACTGAGGCCTTGGGTCCTGGAGTGGGGTTGAGGCAGCTCTTCTGTCTTGCTCTGTCCATGAATCTTGAGCTGCAATCCAGGCCAGCAGAGCATCTCTGATTACCTCCTCCTTGGCCCCGAGAGAACGTTTAATTACTGGGCAGTCCTGCCCCGAGAAACATTTCTGCCTGATTGCCTGGCTGTGGCCTCAAAGACCCTGTCTCGCCATCCACCCAATGAGCTCAGCCTGAAGGGGTGCGGTTTGCACACACGAGAGAGCCTCATCTTTCTGCATAGCCAGCCGCTGTCCGTTATTGAAAGTCATCTCCCCAGAGAGGCTGGTTGCTTTCTCCCCAGGCTGCTGTGCACGGAGCAAGAGATTCACATTTGGGGCCTACAAGTAGGCCTTTCCTTGGCTCACCCTGCAGGAGGTTGCTGGAAAGACAGGAGTTTCCAGCAGCTCGGCCTCTGGAGCCAGGGAGCCTTTGGATGCCTATGCTGAGGCCAGGATCCCAGCTCCTCGAGGCCCCCAAGCTCCAAGCTGGCCCCTTCCACACTGCTTGGGGGCCAGTAGCAAATCTGGGACCAGCGTCCCGGATTCATCTTTGCCCTCCACCCCGTGTGCCCCTGGACCTAGCCCTGCGGTCCCAGGGAGCAATTCCTGGGAGTGGCTCACCTCACCTGGCAGGGAAGAGGCCCAGAGGTGGGGACCAGGACAGTGGGGTCCCCAGGAGCACAGAGCTCTGTCCACGGTGGGGGCTCAGAACACTCGACCTTGGGGTAGAGAAGGATAGGGACACTCAGGTGAGCAGGAGCTCAGTGCCTGCCATGGTCTCTGGGCCTAGGCTGTCATATCTCCACCCTCTCGCTGTCAGAGGGACAGACACCAGACACTTCCTATGTCTGAGGCCAAGACTGGGACCAGGGACACCCCTGGCTCTGTTGTGGGGACAGCAGGTAGTGACTGACTGGGGTGGCCCTGCCAGGACGCCCACTCCTGCGCCTGACTCCACCCCAGGCCAAAGGATGCTCCTGCTACCGACACCTGAGTCTCCGAATCCAAGAGGCAAGAATGCATAGCATGGGGCTGGGGATTTAGCTCAGCGGCATAAGCGCCTGCCTTGCAAGCAGGCAGTCGTGAGTTCGATCCCTGGTACCGGTAAAAACGAAAAAGACAAAAAAAAAAAAAAAAAAAAAAAGAATGCATAGCATATGGAGGGTTGCGGGGGGACCTGTCCCCTGGGGTGGACAAACTACAGTCTCCAAAGGGGCATGACTGACCTCAAAGGGATGTGCTCAGCTGCAGGGACAGAAAACACAGGGAAGAAATACCCTGAATGTGACCAAAGACCCCCAAAACCCCGTGTCAGATGCTGGCCCTGTGGGCTGTCACTGAGTGACAAAGTCTGCAAATCAGCAAGATGACACCAGGTCATGCCCAGCTCACACGTCAGAAATCACTGGCTCACAGGGGAAGTCTCTGGAGGGGATCAGGGTGCTAACAGGTGGCAGGGGACTCTGAGGCCACCTGGAGGGTTCTTCACCACAAGGAGGGGCCAGAAGATGGACTCCGAAGGACCCCAGAATGTGCCCTGCTGACAGCACACTCTTGGGCAGGCTTGGGAGGGGGCCCTGAAACCCAGCTCTTGGCCCTAGCGGAAGAAGGTCTGGTGGGACCAGATGTGCGTTTCTGTTCCTTGACACACCCAGGCCACACCACAGTGACAGGCAGAGCATCCAGTCCAGAGGGCAAAGTCATGCCTAATGCCAAGCTACCCTGAGGGGACACCCAGGGGCTCCCTGGGTAAGAGATTCACATCTCTGAGTCATGACATCGTCAACAAAGGAGGCTTCGCCAAATCGCCCTCAAGACTGGGGAGGGGAGGAAAGTCACACCAGGAGCGCTGGAGGAGGCTGAGGGCCACTGCTAGGTGGTGGGGACTTGGCTGGTCTGTGGTGTGAGGCGGACATATGCCCTGCACCTGGCAGGCATGTCTGTGTTTCTAACTGTGGGTCATCTCTTCACTTCCGTGCTGGGGGCTCCTTGGGTTTTTTTTTTTTTTTTTTTTTTGTCTTTTTTGTGACAGGGTCTCATGCTATGCAGTTCAGGCTGGCCTTGAGCTCACTTTGTAGCCCAGGCTGGTCTCGAACTCGCAATGATCCTCCTGCCTCAGTCTCCTGAGTGCTGAGATTACAGGCATGAGCCACCATGCCCAGCTGCTCCTTGGTTTTTAAACTTTATAAAGAAAAGAGGTTCATTTGGGCTCATGGTTCTGGAGATGCAAGGTCCAGGGCCACATCCATGATGACCCTATTGCTAGCAGAGGTCTAAGGTGACACAGGGCACCATGTGACCAAAGACAGTGTGTGTGCATGAATGTGTGTGTGTGCACGTGTGCATGTGCATGTGTGCATGTGGCAACAGTGGTCTGTAATGCCCCAGAGTCTTACATTCTGGTGAAGCTAATTGCATCTCTTTCTCTTGTGCTGCCTGCTGTGCTCCTGGACCTAAGAATCTACGCTGAGATGACAAATGTTGACCTCTGATTTTCCCTAAGAGTCTACAGTGTGAGCTCTGACTTGCACAGCAGGTCCCAGGTCCTTGTTCCTGGCATGAGGCAAGGTTGTGTCTCTGTCCTGCATGGTGGCCGCCCTGCTTCCAACTGAGGAGTCCCCTCTCTCCTGACTGCAAGCTTCCACCCTCCTCAGGTCGGCTGCCTGCTGTGTGGCTCTCACTGTTGTCCTTGGTCCTGTCAGGAGCTTTCAAGGCCCAGGAAAAAGAACCCAAAGGACACGGCCCCAGCTCCTTGGAGACACAAATTTAATAAGGCACATGTGCTCCCCTCACTGTACGGGATTGACCTGAGCAGAACATTTGGAATTCAAAATGTTTTGACCTAAAGTGTCCTATCTGTGGCTTGGCTTCTGGGCGGCTGCCGTTCCTGCATTGTCCCCACCCCCCCCCCAACGAGCTGCTCACTCACATGAGGAAACGGTGTCTCCTGCTCCAGCCAGCTGTCTGAGGCTGATAAGCACCAACCGACTCCTCAAGCTCCTGGACCACCACCCCTGGGGCACTGGAAGGATCACCTCTTACCAATGTCCTTCTTGGCCTGAGAGCCCTCCTAAAATGGAAGGCCAAGTCTCACTGCCTATTTGGGGCAGGAAAAAAGCCCTTGGGGCCTTGGTGGTAGCAAATGGTAGCTGGTGTCTGGATCTCCGCCCGAGACCAGGTTTCTGATGCCCATACCCTCGTCTGCAGCCAGTTGGCCGGGCAGACTTGGGGCCATGTTCCCGTTCCCTCCTACACCTGTCATGGGACAGCTGTGGGGGAGTCAGAGCAGGAGGGGCCCCTGTGTCCCCAGTGGCAGCTTTCTGTGCACTGTTCCTTTCTCAGATGGCCCAAAGGAGGCCTTGGTGGCACACACAGGCCTGTCCCTCTCGGCACCGGGTGCAGTCCTGGGAATGTGCTTCCCATCTGCTGTCTCTCTTTGTCCATCCCTGCGGTGAGGGATCCTTTGAGAGCCTCTTTTGGGGGTTACTGTTTGGTATCTGTGTGCCTTGTCTCTGACTAAGCCTCAGGGACACAGTGACCTACTGTGGCCAGGTCGTGTGGTCCACTGGGTGGGCGGCAGCAGCTCAGGGGAAGCGAGTCTTTCCGGCCGTGGGCAGAGCCAGCTGTGGGGGCTCAGCAGCTGGCCCGAGCATGCACTTTCACTTCCCCAGGGAACCCCACGCCAGGCCCCCAAGGCTTCCGCTGCAATAGTGTTCTCAGCCCATCAGATCCAAAGCCCCACTTCCTCCAAAGAGCAGGGCACTGGGAGCCCCAGGGTGTGCGAGGGGATCAGCAGGACTTTGGTGTAGAAGGAAGGGGCTAGGGGCCAGGGGCCAGCAGAGAAGCAAAGCAGTCGCCCCGGGCAGCAGGAGGTGGAATGGAGAGGTGCCCAGTGCCCCTTAGTCATCCACCAGCACCCCTTCATCCGCAGCTGTGCAGGGCAGGTCTGGTGGCCAGTAGGGACCACCTGGTCACTACTCCCCAGGCATCACTGCTGGGGAGGGAGGTAAGGACACCTCCTTCTCCACAGAGATCGGGAGGAAGAGCACAGAGCCCCAGTCGCCCCTTCCTCTGAGGCTCCTTGCCTGCTCCCTAGAGGAGCCCTTGCAAAATAACCCACAGCCCAGGTCCAGGCTGGGGACCTCACGGGTATGTGGCACCCAGGGGATTGGGATGTTGGAGTCATATCTGGGGCTGGTGGCAGCCAGCAGGGGAGGCTACCCTGTGTCACTACCAGTGAGGGGCTGGAATCTTGCTCTTGGGGCAGTAGGCGCTGCTGCTTAGAGCCCCCACTGGAGGTACAGCCAGCCTGTGGGTGTTGTGCAGTGCCTAAGGTGCAGAGGCCATCGGCCCCCAGAGCTTGTGCCAAGTCACGGTCTTCTTCCCTTGCGTTCCTCCAACCCAGGAGCCAGGCCCTCAGCTCCTGGACCCAACCCAGACAGAGGCCTGTGAAAGTGGACCTTCCCTTCTGACACGTGCACCAGCTCACAGGCTTTACTCTCAGTTAGCTTTCTCCTGAAACCGGCCCCCGCAGTGCACAAAGCCACCTGTGGGTTTACTCAGTTCCATTTTCTCCAGGGGACCAAACTACTCAGGAAGACTTTTTTCCAAAAATAATTTTTTTTATATTATAATGAAAATCTTCAACCATGTCTATATTTGACATAATGATTAAACCAAACTATTCTGAGACGCAATTTCTAAGCCAGGTGTGAGGTCTAGGGTAGCACAGGCTTCACAAACTCTGGGCCTTTATTTGCTCCCTGTACCCAGAAAGTGAGCAGACAGAAAAATGGAGAAAAGGATAAGAAACTCCAACTGCTGAGTACCAAATGAAGCATATACCTCTCCTGGAGCGCTGAGTCCACAGATAGGCCCAGCCCTAGGTGACCCAACACCCTTGAGCAAGCAGTGCTCTGGTGGGAGTTTCCACGAGAATGTGGACAGAAGCAGTGTCGGGAACAGTTTTCTGCAGTGGTCAGCAGGCATGGCCTTGCGCAGTGGAGAAAACCCACCGAGTAAACCCACAGGTGGCTTTGTGCACTGGGGTGTCGGATTCAGGAGAAAGTTAACTGAGAGTAAAGCCTGTGAGCTGGTGCAGGTGTCAGGAGGGAAGGTCCACACCCGCAGGCCTCTGGGACAGTTAATCACGTTGGCCTGAGAGAAGGGCCCAGCTCCGTGGGTCTGCAGCACTCTGTCTGTGTGGCAGAGAGGACCCCTGCAGACACAGGACCCTGCCAGTGCAGGTTGCGGCCCTCACGGTAACTGGGGCAGGAAAGAGTGAGGCTGCAGCTGCCTCTGTGGATGGAGGTGCTCAGTCTGCACAAGTGTATTGGTTGGCGTCTCCTGGCCTGCAGCACAGACCTTTGGCCTCCAGATTGGGATCAGGACCCACATGGGATGTGTGAACTCTAGACCAGATGATATCAGATCCTCAGCGCACAGAAGGTCCCCCATGCTCTCCCACACCTGACCCTGAAGGCAGCACCACAAGCTGGGCTCAGATCTCTCCTTGTGTCTGTGCACCATGCAGTGAACTCGTGTCAACAGAGCGCACTCATGGATCCAGCCGCCAAGAAGCCTGGCTTACAGACAGCCTCAGGATAGCACCTATCTGGTGTCCTTTCTGCCACAAGGAACCAGGCTAACTGTAGGGTCCTGGGTCCAAAGCAGGAAGAGGCCCCACCAAAGACTTCAGGCTGAGTCTCCCCAAAGCTCCTCCACACACCTGGCAGTTGGATCGACCCCACATGCCAGGAGTGCATGCCTAATAGGCCCGACTAGCCAGTGAACCAGGTGGACAAGGACACAGAGTCACATTTTGACTGAAGTCGCCATAAACGGGTAATCAACGAAAGGACTCAAAATCCTGGTGACTGAGGTAAAAAGTACATCACAGTGAGGGACCCACCTCACTGTGCAGACCCCCTTGGAGGCCTCACCTTCCCTTGGGATACACTGATCCTATTGTCTGTGCCAACTCATCTTTTAGTAAAATAAACTTTTGAAACCACAATTGGGCTCTGTGACTTTTCCTTCACTCCTCACACACATCCCAGCATGTGTTGGGACCTGAGTCCTTCGTCACTTGCCCTGGTGCCAACATCACCATGTGTGCCACCCCCGCCCGGGGGGCAAGGTCATTCCCAGGTATGGCTGTCCAGATTACTAGAAGCAGTGGCACAGGGCCATTGCCGTCTCCAGAGGCCATGTCCTCCTGATCACAGGCCTCCTCAGATGCTGGAAAGGCAGGGCTCACCCCACACCACCTGCCTCACAGCCCTTCATTATAACCGGGTCCTGCGGCTGAGATAATGGTGGCTGCGGTGGCTGCTTGACGCTGGTGTTGCCGCAGACACGTACATAGGTGCCGCAGACACCATGGTGACCTCAACACCCCTGGTCCATTGGCACTGCTGTCATGGACATGGCTTCCCCACCAACTCGATGCCATACACACTCTCACCTCCCTCTTCTCCTCCTCCCTCCACCTGCTCAGGACTCTGAATGCCTGCAGTCAGCCCCATACCTGCTCCTGCTCACAGCACCTAGGACCAGCAGCAGAGGACCATGAGGAAAACAGGCCATCAGGGGTCTCGTGAAACCCCGGCCACTTCACTGCCCTCTCTGATCCTCAGCCTCAGCACAAAGCTGCCACTGGAGTGACTGAATGGAAGAATCAATGGGTCTCAAAGGCTCCTCCATGGCAAGCCATGGAGGAGTTGGTTGCCATGAGATGATTCACGTGATTTAAGCCAATTGAAGAACGTGTTGTGGGTGGTGGGAAAATCGTGTCCTCCCCAGGTCTGGGGACAGCGCAGTTCCACTTATTGCACATGGCAGGGGGAGCAGAAGGGAGAGCTGCCCAAAGGAGTGCAGACCCAGGATTCAGATGGGACAGAGGTTGGGAACTGTCTGGAAACAGGGGAAGCAGGATGCTGGGAAAATGGAAATCTCTGTGTTCCTTTGCCTCCACATTCGCATGCCGCTGAGGAGACAGTGCAGGAATGAGAGGTGCTCAGCCTTTGTGACAATGACAGAGGACAGACCCAAGAATGCAATTATCCACCACCAGGAAGCCACGTTTCTGCTTCTCTGATGCAGTTGCGCCAAGGCCCCAGCTTCCTCTGGCCTTGTGACCACCACGCACTCCCAATGAAGAAACCTGGCCATGGAAGCCATGGCCGTGATGTCACTGTCTTGAGTCAATGCCTCAAACCCAAGGGACTCGTTTCCTTCCTGCACTTTCTCTGTGGAGAAGGCTGAGCAGGGCTCCCAGAGGAGGGGTCACAGGAAACTAGCTATGGGCTGAGGGCCTGTGGCCTGAGCTGCAGTAACAGGAAAGGCGGGTGGTGCTAGGCCCTGGCTGAGTCCAAGGAAAACACCACCAGGTCTCGCTCTGCTGGGCCCAGGTGGGGACGTGGGACCATCCACAGCCAAGAGGGCAGGACTCCCCTTGTGGGCAGCGTAACAGCCACCACAGAGCGCAGACAGAGGACAGCAGGGTCAGGGCTGGCACTGCAGGCCAGAGTTTCCAGTCAGAATGCTGGTCTAGCCAGGACCCCTGTCTTCAGTGAGGGGAAGCCCTACAGGGCTGGGGAGAAGTGCCAGGCAGGAGTAGCTACCAGGAGTCGCAGTTGGGTCCCAAGGTGGGGGAGGGGCAAGTTTTCATCAGAGGAGGAGAGAGGGGACAGGGAAAGGCTGCCCCTAACAGGTCCTGGTGCAGAACAGGGAGACTAGGCCTCTGTGCTTCTGAGACATCTTACAGCTCCCTGTGCCAGATGGCCACCTGCACCCTGAAAGGTTCTTGCTCTAGTATAAATTACTGTACAATTATGGTGGTGGTCTAACGTGGCAGAAGGCCAAAATTGGAACACTTACCACTTCCTGCTTCTTCTTTAGCCCTAATTGCATCTCCTCTTCCTGTTTGCATGCACAGAGAATTCCAATCAGTTCCTCAAATGTCATCAATATCCACCCCATGCACCACTTCCAATCAGAGGTCATATAACCCTCTGCCTCTCTGTATCCGGTCGAAGGAGACAACCCAACTGCCATGGGTTGTGTGCTCCTTTCCATGTCAACTCAATAAACCTATTTATTTTGTACTTTTTGCTTCTTTATTGCACCAGAGTACTCTTAACACACCCCACCACTGGGAGGAAGCCACGCATGCCAGCCATGCACGCTGGCCACTTCTGGGCCACCTCTGCATCTGACCTCTCTCCCCGTCCCTGCCATAGGATCTGGGATCCCCAGCTCAGCACAGGAGCCCCTCTCCAGATCTCAGCTTCTGCCACATTTGAGGCCTGGCGTCAACCAAGCAGGAGCCTGCACTCTGAGAAGCCACAGCAGTGTGGCCCCTACTATAGTGTACAGGCAGCTCTCCTCCCCTCTACCTGCTGAAGCTGCTTCCCAGTCAACACCTTAGCTGAGCTGGGCCTCTCCCAGCTCAGCTGAGAGCACAACCGAGCCCAGATGCAGTGGCTCCTGGATAGGTGGCGGCACACAAGGAGACTGGACAGTGGCTGACAGTCCATGCAGGGGGCAATGAAGTGGGGCACTCGAGTACAGGGAGGCCCAGTTCCAAATGCTGTGGACACGGGCATTGGAGCTCTGAAGGCCCAGCCAGAGGCCAACCAGGGGTGTCAGGACATGGACAGACGGGAGGCTATGGGAATAAAGGCCACAGCAGGAACGCAGAGGGAGAGCCCTGGCCCCACACAGCCCCACAGGCCAAACTTGGAGGCCAAGTGCCCCAGGGAACAGGCTGATTCTAGGGAGACTGCAGTGCTACAGGAATTTCAAGGGCCTCTGGGCTATGCTGGCATCTGACGACACAGGTGACAAGGTTAAAGTCCAGCAGTGGGTGGTACAGAGGTATGGGGCTGGGCTGCAATCCTGGAGGAAAAGAGCAGGTCTCTGAGCTTTCATCCAGGCAGAGGCTGGCCCTGGATGCCCAGACGCAGAGCACATGAGGCTTGGTGGGCTTTTGGAGATGGGTTTCAGGACAGGCTGAGTCACCATTGCACCATGCAAGAAACATCCCCCAATTTGACTGAGTGGTGGTTTTTCCAATTTCTGAATTTAAACACTTGAGCTTCCTTGCATGTAGGGAACCCCAAATTTACGCAACCTGATCCTGGGAGAGGACTGTGCTAACTCAGCCCAAGGGTCCTGTCTTTCCAGAACCCACGTGGGAGTGCCAGGCATCTACCCACGCCCACTTCTGGCCTTCCCTCACATCTTTAAGGACAGAACCCCCTTCAGCTCCTGCTGAAGCTGGCTGGGTGGCCCTGCCTCCTGGCTTCATGGGGAGACTCCAGTGACCCGGATGCAAGCCTCGCAGTCCCTTGACCCCCGACCTGCTAAGTCACCATGAGGCAGGAAGGCCCAGCCAGAGGAAGGGCAGTGGGGCCCCGCCCCGGCCTTTGTCCCTTTGGAAGATAAGACTCTACCCACAATGCAGTCGCAGGCCCAAGCCGGGCCTTCTCCTCCCATCGTGACGAAGCACTTTCGAACCCCGATCCTAGCCCCTGCAGGCCGCAGAGTGCTGAGTCACCGGTGCCCAGCCCACCCTCCTGCGGCCTCAAAATCCCGGCCTAGCTCTTTGGGCTGTGGTTGCTCCCCGCTTTGTTGCCGCCGCCGCCTCAGGCCGCTGTTCCGAGACTGGCTGGCCCCGCCCCGCTGCGACTCGCTGTCACGGAGAGCCGGTGGGCGGGTGGGAGCAGCCAGCGGCTTACAGAGTGCAGATCTGTCACCCGGCCTCCCCGCGGGAGCGGGGTCCCAACCGAACCTACGTACTAATGGGCGCGGGAGTCCACGCACTTGCACACTCCCCTTCACCCCAGCGAGCAGGCCCTGGCTCTGTGGTGCCGTCCACTGCAGCTGTGCGCGCAACATGGAGCCCACCACCTGCAGCAGGTTCCACCTCGGCTCTGCCCAGTTGCTGTCCTGAGCCCTGTGACCATTCATCGGCCCCTCTGAGCCCCTGGTTCAGCAGCCCAGCCAGAAGCCCGAGGTTCCTGCCTGCTTCACGCTGGCTGCAGTGTTCTCTGCTAGGTGCCTCTTTCTGGCTGTGCCACCCCCCCTCATCGGCTCTCAGATCTGCTCTCTGTCACCTAATTGGAACCCAGCCCTCCTGCCTGACCTGAGTCCATCTCCACACTGGGTCAGGTCTCTGCTGTTCAGGCCCCAGTACTGAGCAACAAGCACCCTGAAAGATGGTGGGACAAGGACAGAAGCAAGGCCTTCCTGAGGGGGCTTGCGTCCCACTGAGGAAGGAAAGACAACCAAGCATGAGGACGGGCTGGGTGCTGGGTAGTTCTAGTGCTGGCCCTTGGGAAGCTGAAGCAGGAGAATCGCTTGAGATCACTTAGGTAATGTAGAGGTATAGCCAGCAGTAGTAGCACAGGCCTTGTCCGCAGAGGCCCTAGATCAGCACTCAGCACCACTCTGTATATTTGTGGCTGTAATTAAATATTCTACACACACATCCCAGCACCCATCTTCCTCACCTAGGTGCATGATGTGTTGCTTCCATCTTTAGTTTTGTTCCCATCTTCTGCCTCACAGCTTTTCATCTTAAGGATGAAAACTGCCAGTGTCCTTGCTGGCTTGTGACAGCCCCTTTAAGGAGTAAGGGATCACCTCCTACTCATCCTTCTCAAGTTTTCGGTTTTTTTTTTTTTTTTTATAAGGATTGGATTTTTAAATACAGAATGAGTCATTCTTTCTCAGATGATCAGTCCTTCAGACATCACTGGTGAAGCCCACACTTTCCCCCTAACTCCAAACACCGATTTTACCACAGTAGCTCTGCCAACTCCACAGAAACTGGGTCCCCACAGCACAGCTACAGGGTGAATCCACCTGGGTAACCTTTTCCCCTAAATGCACTCTTCTCCCCCAAATGCCCTTCTCCATATAGACTCTTCATCTGAGCTTGGAGACCCACCACGTTTATGGAAATCAAATTGGATTGGCAGGCTTTGGGGGGCGAGTGGCACCCTTGTAAGGTGAGTTTGGCCTTCACTTGCCTTCCCCTATGCCTGGAGGAAGCCTGTGCCTTCTTTCCACACACTTACACTGGCTTCTGCCCCTGACCCCGGTGGAAGTCTTTCCTTTCACTCCCCTTGCTGATTTTCTGCCTGATTGTGCTGCTGCGAAGCTTGCACATGGAGACTCAGGCTCTCTGATAGCAGGGTTTTTTCTGTTGATTCAGCAGGAGGTTTCTAAAACCACAACCAGAGTAGTGTGGACATTAAAGCACTTGTCACAAAGCCTGCCCATGTCCACCCAGTGGGCACCCAGCCTCGTGCAGTCTTCAGCGTTTGTATCATGAGTGCATGTTTGCGGGGTACAGTGCTTCCATGCATTGCAGGAGCAGGTCCGTGTACCTCACACACCTTACTCTGCTCCAGGGCTGCACCCCCTTACCCTTAGCGTGTGCTGTCTGTTCCCCTGCCTGGGAGCCCCTTACTCCCTTCACATCCGGGCCTGACCTGGTCTCTGCTCACTACCCAGAAGCCTCTTGTTCACGGTTGAGGTTGAGTGTTGCCATGGGAACGGGGAGGCAGGCAGAGCCAGCACCAAAGCTCCAGGTTTTCATCTTGGCAAGGCTTCTCTTTTAAAGAAAGCCTGGGGATCCTGGAGCCATCTGCGACTGTCCTGGGAAAAACCTGGGACAGGCGTTGGGCAGCCTCGGCCGCCTCCCAACGGTGTCCTCTGGCCTCTGCACCCCTGTCCCCTGTCACCAGAGAGCCCATGGGCAAAAGGCTGGGTCTGGTCTGCGTTTCCAGAGCCAGACTCTCCTCTGCTGTAACTCTGAGATCCTTCTTTTCAGTGCTCATTGACACCAAGATTTCATCTCTTGGCCCCGGGGTCTTGGGTCGCTAGCTGCTCATAGCCCCTGCAAACATCTTCCTGCTCTGGCCTGCGGGACCACAGTCCCCGTCCACCTGGCGCGGCCGTCGTTTCCAACGACGAGACCCTGGCCGCATGTGTTTCCGGGGCCAGCCCTGGCGCCAAAGTGGTCCTGCGCACATGTCCCCAGCGCCCAGCCACAGGCCAGGCCCGGCCCAACAGGGCGAGAGTGGGCGATCCCTCCCCCCTGCCTCCTACCCCCCCCACCCGCTCCCCACCCCGCCCTACCCCGCCCCGCCCCCCGCGCCACCGCCCCAGGGCCGCGGGGGCGCCACCGGAAGAGGCGGGGCATCCGGCAGCGGGCGCGCTGATTGGCCCTGTGCGCGTGACGCAACGCGCCTATAAAAGCCGCCGCGCCGGCGCGCCGCTGTCCTCCGCCGAGCGTCGCCGCGGTCTCCTGCTTCAACAGTGCTTGGACGGAGCCCGGTGCTCGCCTGCCCTTACCGCCGCCCTCACCGCCGCCGCAGTCTAACCTCGCCCGCCGCCACCACCACCACCGCACCGCCGCCGCCGCCATGACGACCGCCTCGCCCTCGCAGGTGCGCCAGAACTACCACCAGGACGCCGAGGCCGCCATCAACCGCCAGATCAACCTGGAGCTCTACGCCTCCTACGTCTACCTGTCCATGGTGAGCGCGTGGCGTGCAGCCCGCAGTGGGCGCTCGGGGTTGCCTGGCGACAGCGCAAGCTCCCCAGGGACGGGAGTGCGCGCCTGGATGTAGGAGAGGCGGCGGCGCCACTGACCCCCCTCGGCTGTCTCCCGCCGGGGCGTGCACTTTGAGGGTGCAGCTGGAGAGCTCGCGAACCTGTGTAGAAGATACCGTGCAGGGCGAACGCTCAACGCACTCCCTCTAGACAGGAGGATTTCCCTGTAAACACTGCTGGAGGTGATTTTCGGTGCTAGTTTGAAGCTTCTTGAAGCAGCTCTCAGCGACCAAGTCCCAGTTTTTTGACACAAGATCTCACTGTGTAACCCAGGCTGCCCTTGAATGCACAGTTATCCTCTTGCCTCAGCCTCCTCAGTGCTGGGATTACATGCGTGCTCTATCAGTTTTCTAGTTTAGAGTTAAGAGCCTAGTCCCTTTCAGGAACACATCAGGCCCATTCAGCCCTGGCCCCTCTGGTTGTGTGGTGAGAAGGGCAAGCTGGACAGGCAGAGGACACTCACCACCTCCCCTCGCGACAGCCATCTCCCTTCCCATGGGAACCTTCACTGGACGGTGATGTTTATTTTCAGTCTTACTACTTTGACCGCGATGATGTGGCTTTGAAGAACTTCGCCAAATACTTCCTTCACCAATCTCATGAGGAGAGGGAACATGCAGAGAAGCTGATGAAGCTGCAGAACCAGCGCGGTGGCCGGATCTTTCTTCAGGATATCAAGGTGAGTGGGGAAGGTCTGGATGTGAGAGACTCTAGGGGTCCTTCCCTCCCCTCCATGTGCAGCTATGGCTGGGGCTCTCTGCCTCTGTGCGTGTCAGGGCCACTTTATGCTAATGTAGGCACTGAATCTGCAAGGACAGTGAAGCAGCAGCTCTAGAGGGGAGATGTGGGCATTAGACCCCAGCACTCACAGACTGGGGCTGGCCCTGTTGGGGGGAGTCTGGGCACTGGTTGATCTGGTGCCTTTGCTCAGAAACCAGACCGTGATGACTGGGAGAATGGGCTGAATGCCATGGAGTGCGCCCTTCACTTGGAGAAGAGTGTGAATCAGTCACTCCTGGAGCTGCACAAGCTGGCCACTGACAAGAATGACCCTCATGTGAGTACAGGGATTGGGCTGGCAGCAGAGGGAGGTGGGGTTCACGAGGCACCGGGAGCCAACCATCTACCTCTTGTCTCCTAGCTGTGCGACTTCATCGAGACTCACTACCTGGATGAGCAGGTGAAGGCCATCAAAGAGCTGGGCGACCACGTGACCAACCTGCGCAAGATGGGTGCCCCTGAGTCTGGCATGGCCGAGTATCTCTTTGACAAGCACACCCTGGGGGACAGTGACGAGAGCTAACGGTGCTTGGGCAGTGTGTGCATGCTGCGGCTACCTTTACCTTTTCTATAAATTGTACCAGAACATCTAAAGTTCTTTAATTCCTTCAAATAAAGAGATTTGGTACCCAGCTGTTGTCTTCTGGTTAGAATGGGTCAGAAATCTGCCTTAGTCATCTTTTTTTAATATTCCTACACAGAACAGCTCAGTGGTTACATAATCAGAGTGGACACCTAAAAGAATACATACTCACGTTTATTAAATTCTCAGCTTGGGAAGCAGCGGTGTGGGAGTGTTGATCCAGCCAGGACTGAGGGGGACTCACTGTCCTGCAGTACGCGAACTGAGCTATGTGTTTCCTGTGTGGAGTTTGTTCTGGCTTACAGGATAGGACTCGGTAAAAAAGCAGCTAAGAGCTGAAGGAGTCCTGAGCTCCTTTATTCTTCCTTGCTATGCTCAGCATTCAGGATGTCACAGGAGCATACTCTGCAGTGTAGACAGCTGTGTGGCTATGAGTGGACCAGTGTCCTGGTGTACACGCAGGTGAGGACCAGGCTGGTGATTCGGCCCCTGAGGTGGGTCAGGATTAGGTGTCCCTGCATGGGGTGTAAGAACAGGCGCAGCTTGAGGCAGAGAAAGATTGGATTTCCTACAAGACCAGGTTTACTGGTAGATGCCCTTGAGGAGCAAGACTGAGATGGGGCCCCTTGATAGGATTTCACTGTGAAACTGCTTCTGAATACAGAAACAGGAAGTTATGCTTCCTCCCTGTGTTGTGATTGGGAGGGGAAGGTGGGTGTGAATCTGGGCAAAATTCCAGGAAATCTAGATTAAGGAGAAACATTGGTTTCTGAGGACTCGGCCTAAGCGGGACATGTTGCTGAGGCCAGAGCAGAAGACCCTGAGGCTCGCCCCTGTACTTGCAGATCCCTCTTGGAGGCAGCACGCGCTGGCCCTCTCGTGGGTGCTTGGGTGGCACATCAGGGCTCCCTGCTTACTGGGCAGAGGCATCTCTTGGCTACAGCCTCGGCCCCAGCCCCCACTGTAGTCTTGTGTCCCCAGTGCCCACCCTGTCGACAGCCCAGGAACCTCAGACACCAGCTAACCCTGAGGCTCCCACCACTGGTCCCAGCTGGGTGACCCTGAGACTCCCACCACTTGTCCCAACTGGGTGGGTCTCCCGACCGTGCCAGGCTCTTGGCAACACAAGCAGTGCCCTTCAGTGTTCCCAGGATCCTGTAAGGGCACTGCTGTGTGCCTTTCCCTGTGGGGCTAAGGCCCTCCATACTCAGGTAGTAGTGGACCCACAGGAAGTTGGGACAGGAGGGCAGGCTCCACCCCATGGAGCCTGGGTGGGGACATGGTTGGGCAAATCCCTGAGAGTCCCTGGTTGGGGACAGACCTGTTTTCCAAGGCCCAGTAGGGGTCTGCCAGGTCTCTGGGTGCAGGGATCAGGTTGCTAGGGGACTGCTCCAAGCATGGCCCTTGGAGGTGACCTTCCGGGGGTGCTGGCATATCCGTCAGGTCTGTATTCTTCCTGGAGGGACGGACCCCTATGGGTTCCTCTAAGGCCCTGTCAATGGCAGGGAGCAGCTCATAACAGTTGGCCGTGGACTCTGCCAGCTTCAGGCTCTGGTCTTTGGCGTGTGTGCCTGAGGTGTCCTGATGTGTGCTGAGTTCAAATAGCTCAGGGAAGCTCATGGGGGAGCGGCTGAGGGGTGTCGGTGGGGCGCTGTAGTAGCCAGGCGTTTGGTACAGGGTATCCGCCTTGAAGGTGTCCATGGGTCGGAGCTTGCCATCTTCCTGGGCCCACGGGTGCTGTGGGACACTCCGGAACCGGCTGTGGTGGTGGCGTAAAAGTTTCTTCTTCTGATTAAGCTGCTTCCGCCGAGGGTGGTCACCGAGCTGATGCCCGAGAAAGCGGCCAATGACTTCTTGATGGGCCTCAGCCTCCTCCTTGATTGGCTGGAACTCCATGTCTTCCAGCTGCAAGCTGCAAAGAAGGACATGTGGTTGGGCCCAGGACCACTGTGCCCCAGGCTTGCTTCCTTCCTCGTCACAGGCCACAGTCCCAGCCTACCATCCCTGCAGTTCCTGCTCCTCACACCTTCCTCTCATTACGACCACCGGCTCCAGATTCTGGGGCTGCTGGTCCTGAGGGGCGTATGGTCAGACAAGGCCCAGAGGGACTCTGGGCAAGGCTTGGGACTTAGGGGCCATCCCAAGGGAAGCCTCTTCTGTGAGAAGATTTGGCTGCCCCCGGCCAGACCCATATTTGTCCCCTGACTTGCAGCCCAGTGGTACCTCAGTGGCTACCTGCCAGCCCATAGCAGTGACCTCTGCTCCACTGCTGTCTCTTTCCAGCACCCAAGCCTTTGGACCTTGTGCCCAAGGCAGGCCCTTGGGTTCAAGCCCCTTACAACCTGTGTATTCCCCATGCAGGGGCTCAGACTGGATGATGCTCTGTGCATCTTCTGAAATGTCCCTGACCCAAACCAGCCACCAGCCTCCACCAGATTACCTTTCCAGTGTGTCCTCCTGCCAATTATGGCCTTGAGCTAATGCCAACTAAAGACCTAAGAGACTGCACTCTGGGAGGCTGAGGCTGGAGAATCACGAGCCTGAGTTCATCCTGGGAAACTTAGCAACAGTTAGAACCCTGACACTCACCAGCTGTGCCTGGGACTTAAGGGACCAATCAGAAGACAGCTCCAGGCAGAGCAGCAATTTGCTGTGTGGCCTGTGCCCTTTGCTCCAAGGATAAAGTCCTTTCCGGGACTGCCTGTCCCCTCCCACACCAGGCACTCTCCCTGCTCTCCATCCAGACCCCAAGATAGTCAGAAGAGATCTGGCTGGAGTTAGGAAGCAGGTTCTGACACTCCTGTGCTACTGCCACTGGCTACTCACAAGTGCTTCCCCTAGGGGCTGGGGATTTAGCTCAGTGGCATAAGTACCTGCCTTATAAGCAGGCAGTCGTGAGTTCGATCCCTGGTACCGGTAAAAACGAAAAAGACCAAAAAAAAAAAAAAAAGACAAAACAAGTGCTTCCCCTCTGGGCCTGGGTATCTGACTGGAAGGGAGAGCTCAGGCGGGAGGAGCCAGAGGGGCAGGGACACAGAGGTGGCAGTGGGCACTATCAGCCTCTACTGGCTCTGTGACTTTGGACTGGACAAACCGACTGCCTCTCTGAGCTGTGTGGAACTGTCTGAAAACTGGGGGAGATAACCCTGTATCACTGGGAGGGTCGGGGGATGTGTACAAAGAGCAAAGCTCAGGGCTTGGCTCAAGAGGGTGTGGGTGAGCATAGAAAGGGCTGTTTTAGAGGCGTCAGCCCCTCCCCAGCTGCACAGCCCACCTGATGTTGAAGGTGGAACCCAGGAAGGAGGTACGACGGGACTGCGAGGTGGCAACCGTGTAGGGGGGCTGAGGCTCCATCTTGTTCCAGTACATGTCCCGCTCCAGGGGGGGCAGATTCTGGTGCATCTCATCCACAGACAGTAGGGACACCTGGTCATCAAGGACAGAGGGCGCAGGACTGTGACTTGGCCTGGTGATTCAGCCACTTCACTCTCACTGGACCTGTTTCCCTGCCTGTGAAATGGAGATGGGCACCTGCCTGCAGCTCAGAGGCAGAGGTGAGAACCCTAGAAGGGAGTGGCTGGTTGCAAGGGTTGGAGGGACACAGATCTCTCTGTGGATCCCGTGGGAAGGGCCCACATGCAGCCTCCCCCATACCTGCAGGTTCCTATCCAGGATCCAGTTGATCTCAAAGTCATCATCATCCTCTCCAAAGGGGTTGATGAGCTGCTCTGCCACCTTGGGGACAGGAAGGGCTATGCAGGCCTTTAGGCAGAACTGGAAGCTCTTCCCTCCCTGCAATGGACCCCACTGTTCCCACACCCAAGATCCCTTGTTGTCTGACAGCGGTCTTCGAAGCTGCAGTGCAGGGTTGCAGCCACAGACTGGTGGCTTCTGAGCACTGAACCCCTTGGTGGTCCCTGAGTGCTCCTGCTGTCCCTGTGGGAGTTGCTGATGCTGCGCATTTTACCAGGAATCACATCATTTTATTCATTCACTATGTTGAATGAGAGGGTGGTCCTGGCGGGCAGTGCCTTGACAGTCCCAAAGGGGCGCTGAGCTGTCCTAGCGCCCAAGGCACAGCTAGCAAGCCTCAGAGGCACCCTGGAGAATTCCAAGGTCCCTCCATGTATACACATGAGACCACACAAGACAGGGCTGTGACAGGACCCAGCGTCCCACCTTCCCTCAGAAGACGTGAGGCGGGTCTTGGAGAAGCTCACCTTCATCCAGCCCATGTAGAAGAAGAACTGTAGGAACGTGAAAATGGGAACTACCAGGTCCATCTCGTGGCCTGGATAGGCCTTTTCCTCAATCAGAAACTGCCGGCCCAGGAGGCAGGCTAGACAAAAGCTATACACCGCCACGGTCACCACCTGGTTGGGGAGGGAACATCCCCGAGGCTGGGCACGCAGGCCTGCTGTGCCTGTCACCCCCTCGTGCTGCAGGACACTCACACCACCTCCATGGGCTGCACCAGGCAGAAGCCTTCAACGTGCAGACCCAGTTTGCAGGGTGAGTTGGCTTCCTGGGACCTCCTGGCCTCAGTTCCCCAAAGGGGAACCTTGGTAGGCAGGTCCTCACCTGTGTGTACACCAATGGGATACTGATCCAGTCATAGCCATACAGGAGTCCACACTGAGTGCGAAGGATGCTCATCTCCTGGGGAAGGCATAGAATCTGACTGCTGAGCCCCAGGGTGCCGGGCGCCAAGGGCTGGGTTTGGCCCACCCCTGCTGTATGATCACCACAGCTCGCTAAACCACTTTGTACCTCAGCCTCCTCAGTCAGAGAAAACGAGCTAGGATCGACGGGCTCCCTTAGAGAAGGGCCACCTAGCAGTGGGCAAAGCCTGTGACCCCCTCACAGATCCTCGAGGCGCAGCCTCCCCTGCTCTCTTCACCCCAGCCCGCAGCGGGAGGGCTTACATTCAGCAGGCTCTGCAGCAGAACCGGGTCGCGGATCCGGCCTCCGTGCCAGGCCTGCATGGCCAGGTTGGCAAACCACACCCAGGGGACCCAAAACATGTTGTGGGGCAGGCTCAGCTGCTCCAGCTTCTTATACTCCGCGGCGGTCATGAAGCCTAAAGAGTTCGGGAAGGCGCTGAAGGGAGGATTCAGGCACTGACGCCGCCTCACCCCTGCTCGGCCCGCACCCAACCTTCAAGCACACGGCCGTGGCCTCACCCACCAAGGTACCGCCCTCAGCACCGGGCCCCGCCCACTGACCAGCATTGGGCTGAAAGCCCCGCCCCACCGTGCCTTCCCCAATCTACAGCAGGCCCGCCTGTGGTACAGAATATTAGAATTCCTCCCACCTGCTCCTTTTGGCCCCGCTCACTTGCTGAGAGCCTGAATCAGAGACTCCACCCACCCCACCACGTCCCGCCCACAGCTTTTGGCCCCGCCCACCCACTAAGAACAGGTGCCGGAGGCCCCGCCTCCTCCCGCCCGTCCTGCATTGGCTCCGCCCACCTGCTAAGAGCAGGAGATGATTGCTCCACCCAGTCCAGCCTCGCCCCTGCTACCTATTGAGCAGCAGCAGCTACAGGCTCCGCCCACCCCTGCCGTTCCGCCCCTAGCTTTTGACTCCGCCCACCTGCGTGCACCAGATGCTGCAGGCTTGGGAAGCGCTTGTAGACGGCGGCGCTGACGCTGCGCAGGATGATGACGTGACCCAGTATGGCATAGCGCATGAGCGTGCGCCGCAGTATGCGGCCGTCCTCGTCGGAGCCTTCCACGAAGGCCGACACCTGGCTCATGAGGCGGTCGGGCCACGGCAGGTTCTCGTACTGGTTCCACCAGCGCGTCAGAACCAGCGTCACGTAGAAGCCTGGGGAGGCGGGGCGCGGGCGAGGGCGGCTGTGGCGAGCTCGGTGCCCGGGGCAGTGGGCCGAGGAGCGCCCGTCCCTGAAAACCCGACCCCCACCCGCTGGCCCCGGGCGGCCGGAGGGGCGCTCACCCAGCACGAAGGACACGGGGATGAGCTCGATGTAATTGTCGCAGTGCATGCTCAGCTTCTCAAATATCTCCTGCTGGTCCTCGTTGAGGGCCTGCCTGGGGACGGCACGGAGAGGCGGCCAGCTAGGCGGGACCCTGCAGTGTGGCCCCATGAGGTCCTGCGTGTGTGTCATCGCGGCACACAGCCGCCGGGACTGCGGTGACAAGGAGCCTCAGGGCGGTCGCCGTGTCGCGGTGACAGAGGTACCCAGTGGGAGGTCGAAGAGAAAACTGTCTTCTTCCTGCTTGATTTTACTGTGCACCTAAAGCTGCTTGTAAAACAACAGAACCCTCCGCGGAGTGCAAGAAGTATGAAAGAAAACCAGAGTGCTGTGTTGTGACATTCTATCAGTCCTGCATTTTATTGCCTAGGTAAACATTGACGTAACCCTCTGGATCTAAGAAACAGGTGGCTGGGCTAGACCAGCTCAGCCAGGGCTACTGGCTCTCCTGGGTCCGTTAGAGTGCGGCGACAGGGGGTGTGTGTGGTGGTATAGAGCCCCCCAGGGCATATGGGAGTCCCCATCCCTGAGTCTGACCCCCTACCTGTAGATGAACCGGATGATGTAGTAAAGCAGCACGAAGATGAGGAACTCGCCATAGAGAAGCTTGTAGATGCTGCCGCGCCAGCAGAGCAGCAGGCGACAGAAGGAGCCCAGGCGGGCATTGGCCACCTGGCTGGTGTAGGTGATGGTCATGGCTGCACTGAGGGGCAGCAGGTGGCTTGGGTTCTGGTGGATAGATACAAAGAGAAATGTTGGGAACCCTTGTCAGTTGCTGTTTGGGACTTACCTGTCACCATAGCCAAGACCCATCCCTGCTCAAGGCCCCAGCTCTGTCTCTTGGATGATGCTGGGAGGGGGCTGAGATGGCCTCCAAAGTCCACCCAACTTTGGCTGCTTGGAAGGTTGGGTACACAAGCAAGGGAGCCCCAAAGCCAGGCCAGCATGGGCAGTTGAGACACAGGTGTACACTCAGTGCCTCTGGCTCCCTGGCTCCCTGGGGCAGGGAGCAGGTCAGGGACCTGTTCAGCCCTGCCTCCTGTGGCTTTGCCTTCCCTGCACAGAGCCCGATGACTGCACAGTGGTCCAGGGACTCCCCACTTGGGTCCACAGTGTCTATGCCTGCTCTTCTGAGATAACTGCGTGGCTTCTTCTCTCTTTGGGTCACTTCCTCAGAGATGATGTCTCCAGCTGTCCTCTGGAAATAGTGTCACTGCCACTAGCAGGGTGCCCCACTTGGTGGGTCTCCCACGAAGCACTGTTCTACATGAGCTTATTTTGTACAGGAGATCCTCCTGCTGCTTGTCATGTTTTCATAGCAGTGCATAATAAAAATGCATTGAAGCAGTGATTGCCACCCCCCTACACTTGTGCTGAGGTAGCCACAAACTGGAGGTGTCACTGCACCTGGCAACACCAAGCTCCTTTCCACATTAGGGCCCCTGCACAAACACTCAGGGCCACATACCTGCCTCTCACTCAGGCACACACAGGTTGGCTGGTCACCCACCCCAAAGGCACTCAAAACCCATCCCTGCCTATGCTGGTACCCATACTCACAGAGGGCTTCGGTTAGCCAGGCAGTCCCACCAAGGTCTAGGCCTGGTCTGGGGGATGCTCAAGAGACCCCGTGGCCAGGGCACCTGTCCACCCTTGGAAATTGGCCCTGCCCATATCTGAGACTGCTGCGTGGTCACTTGACTGCTTAAGCCAGGGCCACCACAAAGGCACCCTTGTCTTACTGCTTGTAATCTGCTGAGACATAGCCAGCCCAGCACAGCCAGGGCCCTTCTAATCCCTTCCAGGACTGGAATCTGGGGCATTATTGCCCTCCATTGGGGTCCTAAAACCCACGGGTCCTGGGCTCTGATGTCTTGTGAGAAGAGTTAGGGACATCTGGGGCCTCTGCTAGCCTGGGGGCTGTGGCTGCTGTATGGGCAGGGCGGGGGAACAGCTCTGGGTCTCTGGCAGAAGTCCTGGTGCCTTGTCTTGGTCTCATGGTGACCTGGGTGGGAACTTTGCATCCCTGTCTGGAGGCTTCCGGTTGTGCTGGGAGGAACTCTGATTGGTTGCTGATGACATCATGACTCATGTTGTCTGTGATTGGTCCCCAGGACTTGGGAAAGGATGCTGGGGAGTGCTGGCAGGAGATGGGATAGAGAGCTTTTGGGCGGAGCCTAGTCCTGGCTTCCTGCAGCAGCCCAGCAGCCAGTGTGATGGGGCTGACCCAGACCCCAGGGCGGCGGAGAACCCATCAGCATGCCAGCACAATCGGCTTCCAGGGCTCAGGGATAGAGACCGAGCTCCAGGCTGCATAGTTCTTGCTGGGATGTTTCCTGACCGGCTGCTACCAGGGTCTTCTGGAGTCTGGTTCTGTGTCTCAGTGACATTGCACAGGATTGAGATGTGTGTGGCCTTGCGACCACAAGTCCACACACCCTGACCCAGAACATGACCCTGTGCCTGCATACCAGCAGGCCCACTCTCCCCCTGCCCACCTGTCCCCTTTCCTCCCTGCATACAGTGCTGAGCAAGAGAGGATCTCGGACAGATCTCTGCCAACGGGAAACAGCAGCACTGCTCCAGCCGTCGCAGGTGCCTCCCTCACAGCCGTCTCCACCAGACTGGGACAGGCTTTCCAGAAGAGGAGTGGTGAGCTTCTGCTTCCCTGTGAAATGGAGCAGTGACGTCTGCCTGGGCAGTAGGGGTGAGTACTACAGAGGGGGACACATCCATCCCCTCCCGCACCTGTGTCCTGGGTGTCCTGGGCAGCATCGGCAAGTCCAGCCCCTGTGCCCGCTGCACGGGCAGTGCTGGCTGGGCTCGGTGTCGTGTTTTCCAGGTGTGGGTGCCTCACTGTGGGGCTACTTCTCTCTTCATACTTGGGAGGGGTGTGCTGCTTCCCAAGCGGTAAGCAAAGGTACTTTATCAGAGATGGTGCCTGGCGCAGCCCCAGCACAGCGATGCCCAACTCTGCCTTGTGAGGCCCTGGTTCCCACCTCTTGGGGAAGCCACTGGGGGGCGCCTGTGACCCACAGCTCTTGCCAGGGAAGCCTGGACCAAGTGTGGGTGCTGCATGGGTGCAGGTGGCTCCTGCATGTCCCCTGTCCAGGCCAGCAGCCAGCGAACACCACTAAGAGCTGTGGGTACTGGCTTCTCCAGCCTCCCTGCCCCTCAGAAGTCCCGGGACATCCCCAGGGACAGCCGCGTGAACTTGTAGACACACATCCTGATCTCTCCGTGGCTCTCAGCCAGCTAGGCACAGCTCGGTTGCACAGAGAAGCCACCACAAATGCTGCCTACGAAAAGGGTCCAGGGTGCAGGCCAGAAGAGTAATCCCCACCCAGTTTCTGCAGCACAAAGAGATCATTTAACAAAAGCTCTCTGCTTCAGAACAAATGCCAGAATGGTGCCTAACTCCTCCCTGCAAGAAGTTAAGGTCACATGAAACCAGGGAGACATGTCAGCAGCAGTCCAAGAAGGCAGGCCAAGTACATAGAGGCCAGGGAGACTTTCATAGAGAAGGGGTCATTTGAGCTGGTCTTGGAGCATGAGTCCACTTAACTAAGAAGACTGAATGAAAGGGCACTGACTATTGAGGAACAGGTCTTGGCAAGTGACAGCGGCGTTGCTGAGGGCCACTTCAGGATACATGGGAGGGCACTCCAGGCCTGCCTTGGCCAAGACCATATCACTCCAGTGACTTGGGACTGAACCTCTTCTGGTATTGGCTTCTGTGCCCTTGCCCTCGCATCATGGCTTCTGCCAGAGAGGTGACTTTGGAGGACGGGGCCTTACCTGTCAGGGAAGGGTCTCTGCTGGGGTCCAGCGCAGCCCATCTCTCAAGGCCCAGAACACAGGGGAGCCACGTGGAGGCAGGTGGAGTGAGCCGGATCTACAAGTGGCCCCTCACCTAGGGTCGCCATGGCAACGGGAGCATCACAGAGGGCCTGCCTCCAGTACAGGGAAGGGACCGGCATGGCTGGGGTAAGGCCTATGCTGGGCCAGTGCCCGATGCCCACAGCCTCTCCTGGGCCCATCACATGACCAGTGGCCCAACACAGAAGGGGGGGCGGGCAGAGGAGGCCGAGTTACCCCAGCTCTGCCTGGCCTGGGGTGGTCCTGATCCTTGGGGAGCTGGACACTCAGCATCTGACCATCACAAAAGGACAGCAGGGAGCACAGCAGGAGGAGAGGTGGGGACGCACCTGGGTCCAGGGTGGCCAAGCCCTGTCCTGCCAGCAATGATGATGGTGTAGCCAGGAATTGGCCAGAGCTGTGCAGCGTGGCCTGGGGATTTCCCTGCAGCTCTGTCTCCAATGAACTCTGCCCCACCGAGGCTACCAGGTGAGGCACTGACACCCTTCCACCCCTACGCTCCATGCCAGCTGCGGGGCAGTGAGTGCGGGGGGCCTGGAGCCACTTGGCCTGGCCACTCACTGGCTGCTACCCCAGCCCAGGCTCCTGACTGCAGAGTTGGGCAGGGTGGGGAGGGGCCAGGGGCACAAAGGAGTGCTGTGAGCTTTGGGCTGCAACCCGTGTGGCCTAAAGGTGTGATCACTGTCTGTGGCATGTGGGTAGCCAGCGGTCTGTGGATTCATAGGAGAAACTGTCCTTTGATCATTGTCTGAGCTCGGCACCATTGTTGGAAACCAGCTAGGGATGGAAGCCAAGGTCTATTCCTGGATGCACTTCCATCCCCTGGCTCCATATCCCGCCTTGGCCAGTACTGCGCAGTTTTCGTGACTTAGCTCTCCAGGAACTTGGGAATTCAGATGAATTTTTCTGACTTTGTTCTCTTTTTTCAAGATTGTTTTGACTGCTCAGGACTCCTTGAAATTCCATATGAATTTTAGGATCACTTTGCCCATTTCTGAAAAAAATGAAGGTAGTTGGAATTTTGACAAAGATCACAGGAAATCTGTAGATTCCTTGACCATTTTATTTTTAAGTCTTCATAAGTGGTGTCTGTTAATTTATTTAGATATTCTTTAGTTCCCTTTGGCAACATTTTGTAGTTGTTAGTGTATAAGCCTCGAACCTCCTTGGTTTAAAATATTCCTAAGTATTTTCTTCTTTTTCTAGTATTGTAAACTATCTTAGTTATTTTGCTTATTGCTGAGACAAAATACCTAACACCCAAAGCTAAAAGAGAAAAGGTTTATTTAGCTCACAACTTGTAGAGATTTCAGTTTAGAACCAGCTGGCTCCAAGGCCAGGGTGGCATGGCAGAGGGGCATCACAGAGGAGAAACGGTCCTTGCAGGGCAGGCAGGAGACAGCGAAGCAGTCGCAGCATTTCCTCTTTTGTTTCTTTTTATCCATCCGTGCTGTCCAGTGTTGGCTGTGGCACCCATACCCAGGGTGGTCCTTTCTGTCATGCACACCCAAAACTACACCAAACCAACCAGGAAACTAGTGTAGTCCTCACCCCAGCATCACACACTTTATCCTGGAATCACACACCCTAGTTCTAGCCTCCCCCGAAACTCTCACTTCTGACTACGTGAGGGTTTGGGGGGACGTCTAGATACAAGCTGAACAGAAACATCATTGTTTTCTTAATTTCATGTTCAAGTTGTCTGGTCTATGGAAATGCAACTGATTGTTGTAAGCCTACCTTGTAGTCTGAAACTGCTGGATTTATTCGCCAGCTGTCAAGCTCTCACGTGCACAGGCAAGGTTTTCTGTATGCAGGACGGCGCCATCTGTGAGTGTGGTTTTACTTCTTCCTAGCCACTTGTGTCTCTTTTCTTCTGTAATTGTCTGATCTAAACCTTCTGGTGAAATGCAGAAGAGGCATTTCTGATCTGAGGAGAAGACAGTTTAGTCTTTAACCACTAGGTGGAACTAGCTGAGGGTATTCACAGATGCTCTTGGAGGGCCTGAGGTTTCTTTTCACTCTTAGGTTTATTTCTTTGTCTGTTTGAGGCAGGATCTGATCATGTAGTTCAAGCTGGCTTTGAACTCACTATGTAGCCCAGGATGGCCTCGATCTCTCAGAGATCCTCCTGTCTCAGCCTCCCAAGGACTAGAATGACAGGTGTATGCTGCCATGCCCAGTGGTTTTAAAAAAGAATAAAGGCTAATTGTTCTCAAGTTCTTCCAAAAAACGAAGGAGAGTATACTTCCTAATTCACTGTATGGTGCCAGTGTTATCCTGAAAGCAAAGACGTTGCAAAGAAAGAAATTGACAGACCAACACCCCTAATGAACATAGATGCAAATACTCTCAATGAAATAGTGACAAGTCCAACCGGCAACATAGTAAAAGGATTATTGATCATGGTATTTACCAGGTACTACAAGTTGTCCATTTCAATCTTTAAGAATTCATCAATGTCATTATACCATAGTTTTTTTTTTAATTTTTTTTTTTTTTATCGGTACTGGGGATCAAACTCATGACCGCCTGCTTCAAGGCAGGTGCTTATGCTGCTGAGCTAAATCCCCAGCCCTATTATACCATAGTTTTAAAGGGCATATCACCACATGATCACCTTAACTGATACAAAATACAATTTCACAAAATACATTCCCATAATAAACACATACACACACTCTTATAAAACTAAGAAAGGACTGTAATCCCAGCACTTGGGAGGCTGGGGCAGGAGGATTACCATGAGTTAAGGCCAGCATGGGCTATAAAGTAAGCTGAAGACCAGCCTGCCTCAAAAAGACGAAAAAAAGAAAAAAAAAAAAAAAAAACAGTTTGAGAGAATTTTCCAGAGGCGCAATCTGGTCCTGGTCTATTTTTTTTGGTCTATTCTTTATTGGAAGTTCCGACTATTGATTTAGTCTTGTGTGTGGATCTGTTGAGGTTTACTAGGTTTACTATTTCTTTTGAGTCATTTTTGGTAGAGTACATGTGTCTTAAGAATTTTCCCATTTCACCTAGTCATATAGATTATCATATAATTTGTTATCTTTTTGGGGGGATGGGTACCAGGGATCAAGCTCCTGTTTGATTCAAGCAACCTAATAAAGACACCATGGATCAAAGAAGCAAT